ACACAAACTAATAACACTTATATGGAACGAAGAGAAAATACCAACAAAATGGCACGAAAGTGTAATAATTCCTATCCATAAAAAGGGAGACAAAACCAAGTACTCTAACTATAGAGGCATCTCCCTACTTAATACGGCGTACAAAATCTTATCGAACATCCTATTAAATAGACTAACACCTTTTGTAGAAAGTTTCATAGGGGAATACCAAGCCGGATTCAGAAAAAATAGATCGAGTATAGATCAGATTTTTACTCTCAGGCAGCTGCTTGAAAAAGGATGGGAATTCAATAGAACCATTCATAATCTCTTCATAGATTTCCGACAAGCATACGACAGCATTAAAAGGGATCAGATGTGGAATGCAATGGCAGAACTTTCAGTTCCAAAAAAACTTATCTAGCTCGTTAAAGTTTGTGTAAATGGCTGTAGATCTAGGATAGGTAACAAGCTCTCAGAGTCGTTTGAAATAAACAGTGGACTGAAACAAGGAGACACGCTGTCACCTCTTCTTTTTAATATAATCCTGGAAAAAGTAGTAAGAACCGCACAAATTAGAACAGAACTACTGACAGTAAATGGACCAAAATTACTACTAGCATACGCAGATGACATTGACATTGTAGGAAATACGGTCACCAACGTAAAAGAAACCTTCAATAAATTAGAGAGAGAGAGGCAAAAAATACCGGTCTAAGGGTCAATGAAGAGAAAACCAAATATATGTGCATTAACAGACAAAAGAGACAAGATAGAATAGGACAAAATGTAACAATAGATCCCTATAACTTTGAAAGAGTGGAGAGTTTTAAATATCTCGGAGCGACTATCACCACAGATAACGATATCACGGAAGAGATAAAGGGGAGAATTCAGGCAGCAAACAGATGTATGTATAGCATCCACAACACTATTAAATCCAAGAGCCTAACACGAACATCAAAAATCAGGATATATAAAACAGTAATTAGACCGGTGCTAATGTATGGGTGTGAGACGTGGACGCTGACAAAAGCAATGGAAAGTAAACTCAGATGCTTTGAGAGAAAAATCCTCAGAAAGATCTTCGGTCCCTATCACGATCCGAATACTAACTAATACCGAATGGGAACAAATGCCGAGGTCAAACAAATGTATAGTACTACTGACGTAGTCCAAGAGATTAAATCCCAACGTCTAAGATGGGCTGGCCATGTTCATAGGCTCCCTAATAACCGCCTTACCAAGTTAATCTGGGAAGAAGTCCCGACAGGGAGAAGGCCCTTATTACGTCCACGAATGCGATGGAGAGATAATATATGATCACATTTGAGAACAATGGGGCTACCCACTGACTTAAACATCATGAACGACCATTCGAGATGGAAGCAGGTTGTGCAATTAGCCAAGACCCACCCCGGGTTGTAGCGCAACCAGAAGAAGAAGAAGAAGAAGTATGTTCTGAATCTATTTTATAGTAATATAATCATTACAGAAACCTATTTGTATTGGAGGTTGATAGTTGCCTAATCTATTAGATATTCTTTTAGTAAAAATTTTTATGAGAACTATGTATGGATGGGGGATTAGGCTTATGGATTGATAATTTTCGGTTTTAAAGAGGGTTGAAACGGTTTGAAGTTGGCGCTAAACGCAGGCGAATACAACGTTTAAGCAATAATTTCTCGTTTAATTTTTAGTTTATAGAAATAAAAAAATTATATCTTTAATAAAAAAAATCTGTTTTTTTATTCTAGCATTTTTCTGTATCTTTTCAGTTGTTGAATTATTTTTAAATTTTTTGAGAAATTCCAAAAATAGTGTTTTCACTTTAAACTCGGATTTTTTCAAAACTAACCATTTTAAATCAGTTAAACTTCCAAAATGTGATGTTTATATATAAATGAGGTAAACTGCAAATTAATGACGAATAATTTCATTCAAGGTGATTTTGACGGGGATAAGTTTGTTCTTTTGTGCGTAACAAAAAATATAAACGTACTTTAGTTTAGTTATCTTCTTCTTAAAGTGCCCTCTCCTTAATGGAGGTTGGCTACTACAATTTTAAACTCTTCTCTATCATCAGCTGTTCTTATTAGCTGTTCAAAATTTAGCCCTGTCCATTGTCGGATGTTTCTGAGCCACGATAGTCTTTTCCTTCCTAGGCCTCTCTTTCCCTCAATTTTTCCTTGCACTATAAGTTGGGCGTATTGGTACTTATTATTTCTCAGTATGTGGCCTAGGTATGATGTTTTTCTAACTTTTACTGCGTTAAAAAGGTCTTTTTCCTTGCCTATTCTATGCAACACTTCTTCGTTTGAGGTATGCGATGTCCATGAAATTTTGAGTATTCTCCCGTAGATCCACATTTCAAAGGCCTCCAATTTATTTACGGTTGATGTTTTAAGGGTCCACGTTTCAACTGCATATAGAAGAGTCGACCAGACGTAGCATTTTGATAAACGTAGTCGAATTTCGAGTTTTATTCGAGAATTACAAAGCAGTTTTTTTTATTTTTTCCAAAGATTTTCTGGCCTGTTCTATTCTCGATCTTATTTCTTGATCAGGATTTAGGCTGCTATCAACCAACATCCCAGGTACTTAAATCTATTGACCTGTTCTAAGATGTGCCCATTTATTGTGCAAGGTTGAGGTACGTTTTGGTTTTTTCGGATTGACATCACTTTGGTTTTTTTAATGTTTATTTTCATATCAAATTGCTCACAGGTCGAGTTGGTCTTGTCGATGAGTCGTTGTAGACTTGAGTCGGAATCCGCAATTAACACTGTATCATCGGCGTATCTGATACTGTTGATATTTATGCCATTCACCTTGACTCCATCCTTGGAATCCTCCAATGCTTCTTTAAATAGAAACCCGGAGTAAAGATTAAACAGCAGAGGCGACAGAACACATCCTTGTCTAACTCCCCTCCTAATTTCTACTTCTGCGGATGTGGAACCTTCGATCCTAACTCTGGCGTTTTGGTTCCAGTACAAGAATTTGATGTATTTTCCATCTAAACCGAGTTCTTGCAAACGTTCTAATAGTATGTCGTGTCTTACTCTATCAAATGCTTTTTCGAGTTTAGTTATAACTTAACTTAATTATCATGCAAATTTCTTTTACCGGTAGTCATTTTAAAGATTTTTTAAAAGCTTTAAAAAGTTTTGATAAGTTTCCCATGAAGAAGTTATCATTTTCCGCTTATTCAACATCACATGTTTGGATTCTTGTATTTGATAAATAAAACACTTTACTTTCGAACAGCCATACCTTTGTTAATATTAAGTTTACGGTAATAATAAAAAGCAAATCTCTTCATATATCTATCGAGTTTATGTCGCTCAAACTTCACAATGGCTCAAACAGAGAATAACACAATACATCACTAAAACAAAAAAAGAGACAATAAATTACAAGGTAGATACGGAACTGTTAAGCAATATCGACTATAAAATTCTAATTAATTTAAATTAATTTAATGAATTTAAATCTTGCTGTATAACCAAAAAAAAAATATTAAAAAATAAATAAAAATCCCTGATGACATTTTGTCGGTTAGTACTATTTTAAACATATAAATGTTTTAAAAAACCCTAATTCTTTAAGTAAATAATTTATAACCTCGTCGTTCTAATAATTTTATTTAATATATCGTAGTTTCTTCTGATAAAGCAAAACAAACAATTAGCAAAATGTAGGGACCTGAATAAATAAAGAGTTTGAAATTATTTGTTTAGGTTATGGGTCTATAAAACAACCAATTTTATGGATCCTCAATATCAGGTTCTTAGATCCTCAATACGAAATCAGTTACTATTGAGGATTCATATAGATACCTTCTCTTGGGTTGGCAAACCCCTGGGAACTTCGGTTGGCATAATGTAAATCTGGTTAAAACTACATCATTTAAATTTAACAGCAAATATGTATTAATTAACAAAATTAACATCATTTGAAGGGATTTTACTTTCAACTTAACCAAACCAATTGGGAAAATTAATCGCCTAATATGCAAATTTCATTAAATATTTCTTCGGCAATAATGTTTTAGTCAATACAAGATATATGTAAATAAAGCAAGTGTGCACAGTGTAAAGTCTTTTCATTTGACGTTTTTTAATCCCAATTAATAATTTCTCTTGTCGTTTTCCCATAACTGAGGTTCGTGGTTTCTTCCAATATTCCTATCAATTTTGCTCCATTGGTCTCTATTTTCAGCTGCTTTAAGAGCTTCGCAGAATGAGTTTCCAGCTAAATTCTTAATTTGATCGGACCATCTACTTGGTGATCGTCCTCTTGATTTTCTCCTCAAAACGTTTCTAGAAACAATTAATCTCTCCAAACTATCGTCACTTCTGTGAACCACGTGACTGAAAAATTGCAGAATAGGTTGGAGATATATTGTGGACCAGGTGTGTGTCACCAGGTGCATTGATATGCCCATTTCTATTAAAATGGACCACATATTTATTCAACTTACACAATCAAACACCTTTGACCACCATAAATTGAGGTACACTAATCACATGGCCATTTTCCTGATTTCCAAACAGCGACACAGACAGAATGGACGATATGTAAGCCTTTGCTACCTAGTAACTATAGTATTTCACCTGTTATTGAATCAATGTCTGGGGATTTATTTCTCTTTAGCGATTAAATTGAATCTTTCACTTCAGCGAGTAAGACAGTAGGTTCATTAGCGTATTCAGAGGGCCATTGATTGTCTGCTGGTACCTAATTATTTTCATACAGCTCGCCATAGTGGTTTCGCCTTGTTTCCATTATTTCGTCAATATCGGTCTTTGTATTACCTTCATTATATATTACAGATTGCGTTTTAAAGATTTTTATCACATTGAAATTCTCTGGTAAAGAGTTTGATTGAATTAATAATTTAAGTCTTATTAAATATACTTATTGATTTCGATCAATTAATTTGATATGATGAACAACAAATTTATTGATTATAAGTCGAAATACATTTAAAACAAGGATGCTTTTTAATTCAATAGCCTGATGGACCTGTAGCAGAAACACTAGAAGCCAGACCACTTATCCAAACTCTAGAAGCCAGGCCAGCAATTGAAACTCTAGAAGCTAGACCAGCAATTCAAACTCTGGAAGCCAGACCAGCAATTGCAACTCTAGAAGCTAGACCAGCAATTCAAACTCTAGAAGCAAGACCCGCAATTGCAACTTTGGAAGCCAAACCAGCCATTGCAACTCTAGAAGCTAGACCAGCCATTGCAACACTAGAAGCTAGACCAGCAATTCAAACTTTAGAAGCCAGACCACTCATCCAAACTCTAGAAGCCAGGCCAGCAATTGCCACTCTAGAAGCTAGACCAGCAATTCAAACTTTAGAAGCTAGACCAGCAATTCAAACTCTAGAAGCCAGACCAGCAATTGCAACTCTGGAAGCCAGACCAGCCATTGCAACTCTAGAAGCTAGGCCAGAAATTCAAACTCTAGAAGCCAGACCAGCCATTGCAACTTTGGAAGCCAGACCAGCAATTGCAACCCTAGAAGCCAGACCAGCCATTGCAAATTTGGAAGGTAGACCAGCAATTTCAACTTTGGAAGCCAGACCAGCCATTGCAACTTTAGAAGCCAGACCAGCCATTGCAACTCTTGAAACCAGACCAGAAATTTCAACTCTTGAACTAAAACCACTTGAGGATAAACTATCTGTGAATGACAAGGTAAATAATTTATACTTAAATTCACAAATAGGTAAAATCTCAAAGTTCTCTTAACTTATACCAATATTCATTTGCTTTTAGTTGTCTATAATAAAGAAGTGGGTAGCGGACCAAGCTGTAAGTATTGCAATATATTAGGTTTTAAAACCATAGATTAAAAATACTATTATACATACATTACATAGAAAATAAAATAAAAAATACTATTTTTATGTTTACAGAACAAACCACTCTCAAGAAAGGGTCTGCAAGAAGTAAGTTTGATATACATTAAATTTTCGAATGGATAAATATTTAATATTCTCTTAAACTAAGAGATTTACCACAAAAATTGCGTTATAAATAAATCAGGAAAATATCAATTCTTCTTAAACATCGGAATTTAATAATTATAACAATTAGAAAGAAAAGTATTTTTTTGATAATTTATAATTTACAATTATTTAAAAACTAATAATACATTCACGATGTAGCCGAAGATTTTTAATTAATTCAATAGACCTATCACTTCCATTTATTGCCCAGTCTGGTTATGCAAAAATTATCAATTATACAGCAAAAGTTTTCGCAGATATCTGAAGCTTTTAAGACATAGGTGGGGGTTACTAGATGACGAATAGATGAAAAAGTACTCGTATTTTTACCTTGCATTTTTTTAATTATGCTCACAATTTGATTTTATGTCTATAAGTTTGTTCCCATATAATTTACATAAACAATATTTATATAATTTTTTTATATCAAGAATATCTTTATTTTCCCGTTTTTTAAATTAAAATTGATAAATAATTTACGAAGATAACTGCAAAAAAGCAGTTTTTTGCATTAATTTATAAATTTCATTAATTTTTTTATTAACAAAATAAAAAATTATATTAATACATTTAGACATCGAGGAATTACCGTCTTTTAAATTTGTGCAAAATTTTTTAGGTCACATGAGGTCACTTTTTTGGTGTCCTTTTCATAACGATTAGATTCCCTCTTTTGTCTTTTTGCTCGATGGTGGCTATAACGTCATATACATTGGTCAACAATTGAAGTGGATATTAGAAAAATATTTCTAGAGACGTCTGTCAAAGTTCTAAATAAATAAAAGTCAAATATTTTAAACACAGGCTATATTTATATACTATATTCGGCAGTCAAAAGAAGCAAAAAAGTATTTTTCAATAAAAATTATTTATACTATAAAAAAAATTGAAAAAATCAAGAAAAGCCACGACAACAAAATTATTTTTTTTTTTCAAACTTCACAAAATTATTAATTTTTGTGACATGATTGAGAAGACAAAAATGTTGTTTTATGTAAATATCCTTTATAAAAGTATCGGGATACATCACAGAATGGTTTCGGACTAAAAAGTCCATTATCAGTGTAATATTACCAGGTATACTATGAGTCAAGCCATCTGGGTAAAAACAGTAAAAAAGTTACAAAATTTGTTTTGTTTCACATTATTGTTGAAAATATGTGATGATGTTAAAGTATTTAACATATATCTGTTCTTTTGTCTTTAAATATTAGTCTAGGAGCCAGGGAGTTTTATGTCCCTTCGGTAACTTGACATTTTTTTATGTTTTTAAGTGCAATTTCCAATAACAAGGGGGTTAAACAAGCATGTTGTCTATCTCCGACCTTATTTAAAATATTTATTATTAAATCATCGTTAAAGCAGTGTCGGTAACAAGTATCCGGAATGGGAATAGACATAGGCGGTAGTAAATGTCTAACAACTTTATTTTTTGCAGATGATCAGATCGTAGCAAATGTTAAGGAAGAAATGGACTACATGTTTAGAAAACCAAAGAAAAAATATGCAAAATGGGGCCTTAAAGTAAATATGTCAAAGACTGAGTATCTTAAAATATGAGATGATGAAAAAGATTCAGAGTTAGAAATTAGAAACACAAAAGCATGCAATGAATATAAATCTCGGATCTATAATATCTAAAGAAGGCACTACCAAAAGAGACATCGAAAACAGAACACAGCAGGCAAAAAAAGCAATAAACCTGCTAAACTTTCTACGATGGTCTCTAAAGATATTAGACAAGAAATGAAATTGACAATCTATCCAACCTTGGTAGAGCCTATTCTGGCTTATGGGGCAGAAGTTTGGCAGATCACAAAAGAAGGTAGAAAAAGAATAGAAGTAGTAAAAATATGTTTTTTATAAGGAAAGCGTGTGGTGTATGGATCCAAAAAAGATCAGGACTACAGATATTAGAAGGAGGACTAATACTGTATATTCCAGTGTAGACAGAATTGAAACGAGACAACTAGTGTGGTATGGTCACATGAAACGAATCAATGAAGATAGATGGCAAAAGATAGCTTTAAATTACATACCACAACAAAGAAAAAGAAGAGGAAGGCCTTCAGTTGCTTGGGAAGAAAATGTACGTCACATGGTACAAGTGCAATTAACTTTTAAAATCCTCTCATTTTAAAGATAATTGCTTTAGCTTTAAAAAAACTTTGCAAAATTACTTTATCTTTCATTATCATTATTATCTTTGCAATAACAAAGTTATAACAATTAAACATTAAAAATTGCACTAAAAAGTTCCTAACTAATTTGTTTATGGAGATATAAATAAAAATTATGCTGTATACTTTTAAAATCTGGGTAGTGAAAGTTATAAAACAATTCAAAATTGTAAATGTTTTTATATAAATTTTTGACCAAGATATGGAACATTTATAACGTGCTCTAAAGCGCACGGTCAGCTCGCAGCGATTCCAGGCGTATGTAAAGTGTGCGCGTAAATCAATTTTTGAATATCATGATCAAAAATTAATATCTAAACATTTAATAAATCTTAAACTGTTCCTTTTTGTTAGAATTTGTTATAACTCCGGTTTTAACAATCGGATCAAATTTTAGCAAACCCCTTTTTTGTTAATTTTTTCAAAAGGAACAATTTTCATTTTGGTAAAAGTAAAAATCTGTCATAGCTTAGGAGAGACAATCATTTAAGCAATAAATGGTTAATAACAAATTTTCTGCTGGATTTCCAACTTGGTACCCTCGAAAAATTGAATATGTGCACTAAAAAACATGAAAAACGTCTAGTTACTCAACCCCCTGGCTCCTAGAGTATATAGCCCCATTTCCAATATACCAAAAGCAAAAATAAACATACGCCTATTTTTATACCCCCATATACAATTGAATTTAAAAAAAATATGATATTTGATAAAAATATTGAGATACCAAAGTTAATATTAACTTTTTTACAGTTGGCTATTGTTAGAGCATGGTTGGAAGACAAAGCAAATGCAGTAGTAAGTATTTGAATAATTAAGTTATTATAGATTAAGTTAAATAGTAGTATAACTCTCTGGACGTCTAATTCAACGGCTGAAATATTGTAGCTTTAGAATTTTTATTGTTTTTGTATAGTTAACTCAAATTGTGATCAAGCGAGGGAAATACGTATAAGAGTAGAAAAGGCAAGAGCATCGTTCACTAGCATGAAGCAAATTTTCACCTCTAAAAGCCTCACCCTACCTCTCAAAATTCGACTTCTGAAATATTATGTATTCCCGGTTTTGTTATATGGAATGGACGCGTTCACAATGACCGCAACATTGATGAAAAAAGTAGAGGCCTTCAAAATGAGGCCTTCAAAACGAAGAGGTACTACGCCATATAGGTAAAGAGAGAGAGAGATAGGAATAAGTATAAAGAAAAAAAAGTTGGAATACTTGGGTCATGTTATGAGACATAATAAATATAGAGTACTACAGCTGATCGTTCAAGGGAAAATAGACAGCAGAAGGGTTCCAGGGAGGAGAAGATACTCGTGGCTCTAAAACTTGCTGCAATGGTTCGGATTGTCATCTGCTGAACTATTCAGATCTGCCGTAAACAAAGTCAGAATAGCCATGTTGATCGCCAACGTTCGGAACGGACAAGGCACATGAAGAAGAAGATTGTTTTTGTTATTGCTGTGCTCTTTTTCATTCGGTGTAAAACTATTTCATTTGTAATTCGATCAACTCAACTTATCCACAATATTAGTTAGTAAATCCACATCCCAAAGGCCTCGAGTTTTTTCTTTAGTCTTGCTGTACAGAGTTCAACTCTTTATGTCATACAACAATGTGGAAAATATGTAGCAGCGTATTAATCTGATGTTAAGGTTTAATGTAATATCTTCTATTAATGAGAATTTTCTTTAATTTATAGAAGGTGGCTCTTGTTTTTTCAACTCGTATTTTTATTTCTTTGCTTATATCGCAGTAACCGTTAACATTGGCGCACAAATAGCTGATATTATGGATTCTTATTAACTCAATTCCATACGCTCTGATGTTCATTGGTTGTAACTCTGTTTTGCTGATCACCGCTAGTTTTGTCTTAGAAGTATGAGGCTTTAACCCGTATTTAACACATCTGTTGCTCTGTTTATAAGACAGTGCAATTCTTTTTCTTCTTCTTTTTCTTTTTCTACTTTTTGTAGATCTTTCGATCTGTTTAATTCTGAAGCTGCCTCTGGTTAATTTCTTGGGAGGTAGATTGCCAACTATTTCTCCATCTTTTAGGTGGTCTTCCGGGGGGTCTTGAACCGGGCGCATTGTTTTCTAGGGCAATTTTTGGGAGTCTATTCTCATCCATTCGTCTTACATGGTTGTACCACATCCTCTTGCGCTGACATTCCCCATCTTACAATATCTTGAATTTTGCACTGCTCTCTAATGTTTGTATTTCTCGCTCTGTCTCTTCTTGTTTTCCCCATTATTGTTCTTAGAGTTTTCATTTCGGCAACCCTTAGCATCTGTTTCGTTTTGTTAGTATCTTCGTGCACTTCTATGCCATATGTCATGATCGGTCGTATGTAAGTCTTATAGATTCTAATTTTTCTATCTGTGCGCATATACGGATTTGACCAGACTATCTCCCGCAGACATCCTGACAGTGCAGATGCTTTGTTGATCTGACTCCTCAGGTCCTTTACTGGGTCGTGGGTGCTTGATATATCTATGCCCAGATATCTGAATTGCATCACCTGTTCTATGGGGTTGTCCTCAACCACTAACTTACATCTGAGCGGATCTTTTGCTATTGTCATACATTTAGTTTTGTTGGTAGAGATGTTCATATTTAGTAGTCGGCTCGTTTGAAAGAACTAAAAGAGCTGCCTTTGGAGATCATCTTCTGATTCGGCAATAATTGCTGCATCGTCTGCGTAACACGCCATACCAATTCTTTTGTTGCCCATTCTATATCCGAGATTAAGAGATGTTACTTTGTTGATAATTTTGCACATGAGAAGATTAAACAAGAAGGGGCTTAAACTGTCGCCTTGTCTAATTCCTCCCGGTGTTGGAATATTTTCAGTGAATTCGTCTCCTGCTCTAACTTTGGTTACGTTGTTGTTATTTAGTTTATGGAGTATCTTTGTTATACTGGTCGGTGTTTCATTTTCTATTAATATATTTAGAATGTCTCCCAGGCGAACTCTGTCAAATGCCTTCGTCAAATCAATAAAGTAAATATACGTTGGCATGCCGAACTCTATAGCTTTTTCTTTTATTTGTTTTATTATAAATATTGCGTCTGTTATAGACCGCCCTTTTGTAAAACCTTGTTGTTCTTCAGCATTAGTGATTTGCTTTTCCAATTTGTCCTTGAGAATACCCGTGAAAAGTTTCATTGTTGTATTTAAGAGGGTTATTCCTCTATAGTTTTGTGGGCAGGTTTTTTGTCCTTTCTTTCAATTCTTGTCAATTCTTTTTCATTGGATACAATCAGTACCGTATCGTCTACGTATCTGGTATTGTTCACGTTAATTCCGTTGATTTTAATGCCTGCATCTTCATCTAAAGCTTTTCTGAAAATAAATTCGGAGTAAATATTCAAAAGTAGATGCAGTAAATTACAGCCTTCCCCCACTTGATGTCGTATTTCCACTGCTTTCGTCGTATTCTAACCAATTCGTATGTTTGCACATTGATGCCAATACAAAATTTAGTGCGATGATCGCTACGTTATAGCGTTTATCTTTTTCAGTATCACTACAGCTGTTGACTATAGCCAGTCTGTTGGTATATGTCCTGTTTCGTATATTTTATTGATGAGGTTGAGAAGATAATATTTACCTTTATTATCGAGATGTTTGATTATTCGCTGGAAATTTCATCTGGACTGGTTGTCTTTTAAAGTTTGATAGTTGTATAGCTATCACCAAAATCAGAACTTGTAAAACATACTTTGTAGTAATTATACAAGATAGATTGATGAAGTTCCTTAATTAATCAAGAATGCAGATTATAGAATACCTACCATTTTCCTTTTTTTAAATCTTATTTCTTTGTTTTAGCGTGAACGTGTTGCCGAATTGGAGAAAAAAGTAAGATTACTTTTTATATTATTATGATTCACTTATATTTATGTTAATGATGTCAATAGAAAATTTTACGTATTACATAAAATTATTGTGTTCAATTAAAATAACCTAAAAAAGATTACATGGTAAAAAAAATAAATATAGACCGGAGCCGATTTTTTAAAATAAGATTAAGTTTGTTTAAAAAAATAATAAAAATTAAAAATGTGTGATTACTCTAATAATTGACTTATGGCTCCTTCTCAAATAGGTCGAGAATATTAATAAAACAAATAAAACATTTAAAATTGATTAAAAACATCGTTTTTTTTACGTTCGTGGCATATAACAATGTTTTTTTTTTGTAGCAAAGTCGGAATGAAATGAAATAGCGATAACTGAATTTTCTATAATATATGACTGATTAAAAATGTTTCGATTTATTATTCTGATTGTTAAATGATGAAAAAAATCTCGTTCTTATTCAATGGTTTTTAACCACTAACACCTTGAAATTAACCACCTAAAGATTGTGTAAACAATTACACAGCTTTCAAATGAGAATATCTGTATTCAGATCGTGGTCAAGGTACACGTTTGGGGTAAGTTTTTCTAAAAAAAAAGTCTAAATCATAGTTTTTTAAATTTAAGCTAAATCGTTGTTTAAAATTTTTAAAAATTCCTGATGCCGCCGAAATAATCCGATTTTAATTCTATAAAGTGCGTTAGATAGGTAAAGTGCTCTTTTGTATGTAAAAAAACTGGCAAACTTCTGAATGGTCCAGAAGCAAAACCAGCAACTCCAAATTTTCCAGTAAATACATTTTTTTTTGGCGGTAAGGGAATAAATTAGGACATTTTGAACCAGTCGTATCCCATTGGAAATTCAATTATCGCTATTTTATTTTATTAAGACTTTATTTACAAAATAAATAAATCGCTTTAATGTAAAGGGAAGTAGAAAAATACGATGTTTTTAACGATTTTTAATTAGCTATTTATTAATATTCCCGACCTATTTAAGAGGAAGTATAAGTCAATTCCTATTAGTGAAGTTATCACACAACTTTTTCTACAAAAATCAGAAAGCCACCTCTCACATCCACCCCAAAATAGATCTACCCTAAGAATTTTGAAATTTTCATGATATTTAAAATATAGCTAATTGCACAAGTCGTGATGGGCAAGTATTTTGAAATCGTAGGTATTTTACAAATAATTTAAACCGTTTGTCTTTGCGAAGTGTAATCTTATATAAACACATCTAACCTATTGGAAAATTTTCTATATTAATTTGGCATCTGTACTGACATGTTAATTATTAAATATTCGTCTAAAAATTAATGATTCGATATTTTTTTTCAGGTACTTCCTGCCATTCGCAAGTTGAAGGTAAGATAATTTAATATTTTAGAGACTTCCAGCTTTAATACATTTAAACGTAGGAGGTATTAAGTATACTCCTTTTACCCTATGAAGGCCGATATCTAATTAAGATATAATCAGCGGGCCTCAGACAGTGAGGCGTTAATATTTAATTTCGATCGCTTGAAAAGTAAAAATATTTAATTTTCTGTATTTTATGTTCAGTAATAATATTGGATTTTACTGTATCAAAGGCAAATAAAAATGCAAAACGAATGGTTTTGCATGTAGTTAAATTGGAAAATACTTGCCAAGTTGCTGGTATGTCCAAATTTGAATAAAATACATCTAAGACTTTACTTTCTGCAGACACTGTATTAAATATAACCTTGAAACAAATTGGCATTAAATCACATTCGAGTTTGCAGCATAACAAAATGTTTAAACACGTGTAGTCCAGTAATTAATACCAAAGCTATTGAGAGTATGCAGTGCAGTAATTAGAGCAAAGGTACTTTATCATTTAACTAAAACACATCACAAAGTTTGAATTAAATTTCTGAAACACTTTTTTGTTTCTTCTTCGTCAGTCGTCACTATCTGAATTGTCTATCCGAATAATTAGAGGCTGGACCTCATCTATAACTCTCTCGGTTTGAAAAGACTGCAAGTTATATTACTTTTTCTACAGACTATATTATATGAAAATTTTATTTTTGTTACAGGCAGATACATCTAGTGCCATTAATGCAATTAAACACAAAGTTCAAGTAAGTGAATAAACTACACAATTAAAATGTTTTTATAAAATACCCATTAACATAATAAATGGAATCACAGCTTCTCGAGAAAAAAAATTAAACTTTATTATATTCTATTATTATTTTGTTTGTTTCCGTAGTCATCCCACTGCGCCCTTTCTCGTTGGGGAAGTAATCTCTCGCCCTTTTTACTGCTTTATTATTCTGTCTATATAGTTGTTTTAGTCCAGTCTTATTTTTAATCTAGGTATTAATGTTTTGCACTAGACATTTTCACATAACACCTATGCTATTATGTGCAATATATATGTATATATATATATATATATATATATATATATATATATATATATACAACGCAAAAGTCTAGGGATCTTTTTATAAATAGACGTATTTTGTTTATCTGTAATCAACTTATAAAAAGTAATACAAAATTTGTAGTTTAAATTGTTGTTTCATATGTCAAAAACCATAAATTGCAAAAAAAACAGAAAATGGAGCAAACAAAATATATTGCAAATCACCCATGTTTCACATACCACCATAAAATGTCAAAAATACGAAATATAAACTTAAAATAAAATATGGCCACCACGTTGGTATATCACAGCTCGACATCTACTGTTCATACTCGGAATCACATTGTTAATGTCTGCTTGAGGTAGTTGTGTCCATTGTTCTCTCAGAAACTCTTTTAATTGAAACTCATTGTAGATATTGCCCATATGTGGAGTAATTCTTCTGAAGCATGTCCCATACATGCTTAATGGGATTCAAGGCCGTTGATTGTGCTGGCCACGGCAATACATCAATACTCCCGTTATCCAACCAGTTTGTTACAATATGCGCAGCATGTGGTCGAGCGTTATCATACATAAAGTAAAAAATTTTCTCCAACAGCAGCAGCAAACGGGCGCAAAACAGGTTCAAGAATAGTGTCCAAATATTGCCCGTACCATTAATGTACCACCTCATTATACATACACTTCTGGAAGATATCGTAATCGTTCTCCATTTCCGGATCGTGTCTAAACTCTTGTCCGGCGGGAATCTGGATAAAATCCATATCTAGACTCGTCACTAAACAAAACTGTGGCCCAGTCATTATCAGTTTAATTCTGAAACTCTTGACACCAGGTTAATCTTGCAGCGCGATTGCCTCTAGATAGACGTGGACATCTTAGTGGTTGCTGACTACGAAGATTGGCTTCATGGAGACGATTCCTCACAGTACTGCTGCTAATTGTTACATTACACAGTGTCTCTAAACCGACGCCACAAACGACTTACGACGCTTTGGGAAACACCCAGCTGGTCAGCAGCTTGAGTTTATCGCATGCCAGCTTGAAGGAGGCCCACGGCTCTATTCATCTCGTTCAACGTTAAATGTTGTCGTTGCATGGTAAAAGACAATATCTTTAACTCACTTATTAAGCTATAATCGTATAAAGTGACTAAAACTAAAAATAAGCAAAACATAAAAATCGATTTTTTTGTCCCTTGTAAAAAACATTCTAAAACACGTATTGCTATCAGTTTTACAATTTTTTTTTTTTGATAAGAAGTGAGTGTCTGTATCAACAATTATAGTACAAGCAAATTTATATGGTCATGAAATTTCTGTAATTGGTATTGTCAAATTATTAAAATATCCTTAGACTTTTGCGTTGTATATATATATATATATATATATATATATATATATATATATATATATATATATAGTAGTTGTGAGTTTCTTGAACCGTATTATATTTAATGTAAAATTAGTGTTTCTTGGGTTTAGGTTCAATAAAGATATATTATATGTGGAACTAGATTTTATTTTCTATAACAATCAACGTTTCGGCAGGAAACCCTTGCCTTTGTCACGATTCAAAACGTAAAACGTGACACAGACATTAACGAACTTAATATATATATATATATATATATATATATATATATATATATATATATATATATATATATATATATATATATACAGAGAGTCTTCTATAGCTGGCACTGTTTTTCGCATCCTAATTTACAACGTTTTCTGTCGAAACAAATTTTAAGTCTTTGACGGCCATTGCGTCTTCGAGATCTTCTCTCCATGACCGTCTTGGTCTACCTCGTTTTCTTCTAGTGGGTGAAGTCAATTTTTTTATCTTTTTTGGCCATCTATTTTTAGTCATTCTCTGCAGATGTCCAGGTATTTTATATCTAAGTCAATTTCCACTTCTCTAATAATGTCTACGTTCCTTATCCTATCAACTCTAGTGTGCCAGCAATATTGTCTCCAATAGTCTATTTCCATGGCCTTAATTTTTAATATGTTTCTTTGATTGATTTCTTAAAAGTTTGGCGCCGTACAACCTAATACTTTCTACTATTTTTTCATAAATTCTTCTTATATTTTTCTTGTTATTAGGGACCACTTGGTGTACTCCCCTTCCAGAATTCTAAGCATATAGTATATATCACTCTCGTCTTCGGATAGAATGGCTTGGTCGTCAGCGAAGTGTATCGTGTACTATTTCTCGTCTTTGGTTGGAATGCTTACATACAGCATTTTCTTCTCCACGCTGAGAGCGCCTCATTCAGATATATTTTAAAGATTGTATGTGCTATTTAGCAGCCTTTGTTTAGACCCTTACTAATACGAATTTGTCTAGTTAATTTGTTCGCAGTTTTTTGTAAAATTATTGTATTGCTTTTATATATTTTTTATTTATTCCTTGTTTTTTTTTTCATTGCTACCCAGAGCATTGAAAGTGGGACACTATCGTATGCCTTTGTCAGATCTATAAAGACTACATGAGTTGAAAGGTTGTGCGCTAATCTTTTCTCAATAACCTGCTTTAGAGATAATATGCTGACTATACAGGATCTGCCTGCATGAAAACCATTTTGTTCTTCTATATCTGTCATGTCTTTTTCAATTTTATTTTATATTATTTTTCCATAGAGTCTTGTGGAGTGAATTTATCACACTTAGCCCCCTGTAATTTAAACAATTTTTTGTATCTCCTTTTTTGTAACTTTTGTTAATATGTGCTTTTGTTCACTCCGGTGGTGAGTTATGTCCTTTATAGAATAAGGTGAAAACATATGCTAGCAGTTCCCGCAATACTTGTGGCTAAGTTTTAATAATTCGTTCGGTATATCTTGTGGTCCGCAGACTTTTCGATTTATTAGATTTCGTGTTGCATCTTCGACTTTCTGTACTTATATTTTATCGTCTTCATAGTATTCCACTTCATCTATCTTTCTTCTATTAAATCTATTCTACTTAATTTTTTTCTGTTCCCATCTCGATATATATATTTTTTAAATAGTTTTTGTGTACTAATATGAAATCTTTTACAGAATCGTCTAAAGGTTAGCCAATAGCGAAAATGCAGCTGATGGGTAATTGATGCAAGGAACCCCCACTTTTGGTGGTATTTATATAACATATTTTACAATTTCATAGTAAATACGTAGTATATAAAACACAATTTACTGTTTTCAGTTGTTATAATGTGTAAAATAAATCTTTGCTGTTTTCGCTTAATAGTTTTTTTGTGTGAATCATTTGTAAGGTACTGCAGTTATTATCTATAACTACACTTCGGCAAATATGCAAATAAAAATGTAGAAAATATGCGCATAAATATGCACGTGTTTACCCGAAAATATGCAAATATTTTACAAAATATGCATACAAATAAATAAAAAAATCGTAAAATAGTAACAATTTTATTTAAAAAAAAAAGTGTACATAACTAAATATTTCCTACTATTCATTAAGATTTACATTTATTTTAAGTAACTACATCATTTTTAAGTATGAATAAACTTATTTAGAATTATGGTAACAATAAATGACCAAGTGGTGTTTAAAATTTTCTAACAAAAACTTGTGGCTTCTGTCTGAGTACATATATTTATATATTTTTCAAACATTTTTTTTTCAAACATTTGGAAGCATTTTTCAAACTAACCAAAACATTTGGTTCTAAATTAATTGTTTCCGAAATATTTCCAGCTAGAACACTGACTACTTCAGAAAGAATATGGTAACCTTTATTTTTTTCCATAGTAGCTTCAAATTTTTTTAAAATATCTTTTGCAATATTACCTCTAACGTTCCGACAACATGACGCAAATTCTTGTATTAATGCTGTACTTTCGAACAATGACAGTTTTGGTGATTCTAACTGAGTAATTGTTTTTTGAACAAAACTAAAATTTGATTTTATAAATGAAAGTTCTTGTTGAAGCAAGTTACTCTGAAAAGTTTGTTTAGAATCCAAAAGAGATTGGGAACTTTCATCTGTTAACGTATCAATTATGTTCTTTATTTTAACAAAATGATCTGCATAAAAATTAGCTGCTTCTAACCATGTTCCCCATTGCGTTAAAATATGTTGTGGTGGAAGAGGAATGTTAGGTAGCATTTCTTTATAAAGTTGAATTCTTATAGGAGATTTAAGAAATACTTTTTTGACACTGGATATCATGGTATTTACAAGAGGAAACTTTTTTCGTATTTCCTCTGCAACTCTGTTTAATCCATGCGCTACACAAGTAACATGTATTAAATCTGGGAAAAATATTTTTAAATTTTGTCCTGCTTTCACCATATAAGGAGCAGCATCCGATAAAATAAGCAGTAATTTATTAGAAGGAATAGTTGTCGGAAGAAAAAAAGTTGCTAATGTTTCTTGTATAAAACGCGAAATTGTTAAAGCATTTGTTTTCTCAAGTTGCTGGCATAAAATAAGATGAGATTTTGGTAAGGTATCTTCTTTAAGAACACCAATCAATAAATGAGCAATATACTTTCCTGAGGAATCAGTGGTTTCGTCTACAGATATGTAAAAATAATTATCTGCAATTTCTTCCTTAATATTAATTAACACCGACGAGTATAGCCCGTTCACATTATTTCTTCTTAGAACATTAGAACATAGAACACTTGGAACATTAAGTTTGCAATATTTTTTTAGAAACGAACTAAAATTGACATTTGCTAATTTTGA